TTGACAGAGTTTATGACGAGAGGCGCCCATTGCGAAGTCCTGAAGTCCATGCTACTGAAAGCCCGATTTCAGGTGTTTGACCTGACCTTGACCCGACCTGTGACCTCAAAATTCATTTTTAAAGTACTCATCTGAAGCGTCTCGTCGCGTTCTTTTGTTTACCGCCTCGTGCGTTTCGCTGTGCCTATTGGTTCTCGGCTGGGGGCGTTTAACGCCCCCCTCCCCCAACAAACGGTGGGTGGCGAAATACTCCAGCAACTACCGGGTTAAACCATTAAGCCTCTTTAATTGCATTGCAACAGAAGGGTCTTTCCCCGGCTGGTCGGTCATATTACAGTAATACACTGTTGCACCATGTCTGCGGCCTGCCTGTGTAGGGGAACGGCTATCTGCTAAGACCATCCGGGCCCGCTCCCCGCACACAGCCACTGTGATCAAAGAGCTTCAAACATTAGGCTTTAGAGCGTTCCCCGTCCTTTGACCTTGACCTTGACCTTGAAAGTCATGACCTAGTGACCTAGAAATCGCTGTCAACCTGCAATAAGGAACGAGGAATCGAATGAGGGCCTTTTAATCAAAATCGGTTCATTGGTTTTTGAGTTATTGCGTTCCCCGTCCGAATATCGAATTTTTAGTTTGATATTCGCGAATATCAATCTGCTGCTCAATTGATTGACGTTTCAAGCGGGCTTTGAGCAATTATCGGGCTGGTTATACCTTCCGTGCGGCGGGCCGGCGGCTGGCCCAAGTTCACCAGACAGCAGCCGACTAGATAGAATACTATTCCGCATCACACTAATGGGTACACTCTCTGATACACCAGGCCTGCCCCGTTTCGGTCCCGGTATGAGCGCGGATTCTGCGCTCAATAGTGCAAAAGGGTGGTCGCTTTGTCTTTAGGCCACACGTTGCACGTGGCACCCCACCTCGAGTGATCACGTGCACTCTCAATGTAAGGCGTTTTGGCCATAACGTTGCCATTTATGGGCCGATTTCGACGAAACTTGCAACATTGATGCATTAAAATGACCTGCGCCACATACGGTCCAACGAATACAGCAAACTGATGTGAGCCGTTTTAGTCTCTAGTGCGTCATTTTAGCTACAGTGGCTGAAGTTGAGGAATATTACGCGTATTTATTTCGACGGTCCGGTTTCGTCGAAACTTGCAACGGTAGTGCACAAAACTAGGCTGCGACACAGCGAGGCATAAAATAAGCTGTTGTGCGCCACTTTTGTCTGTAGTGCGCCATTTCGAAAAAAAAACGGAATATATATGATAGTCCCTGCGCTCTTTGATATACATACCAAATTTCAGATCGATAGCTCTTTTTTGGCCAAGTTATAGCGAAAAAACTGTTAAAAATTGATGACGTCAAATTTTTGAACTCAATTTTTAACAATTCTAGACCACGTAGCGCAAAACGGTACGACCCCCCTCGCCGTTTCGCCCCTGGTGGAGCTAGCGCGTCGCGGAAAAACGAGAGTATGCGCCGTTACGAGACGCAGAGATTGGTACCCGATTTTAAGGTCCCAGGTCAACCGGTGACCTCTGAGGTCAGGTCAAGTGCCCCAAGGTACGGTTCAGTTTTTAGTGAATAACTTCGCAAAAAACGGCCGCAGAGCCGCGATTTTGGCAGCATCGTGTTCGCATCGCTCAGGCGCGTCGCATGATATACTTTTTGTTTGGGTCAGGTCAACTTAGGGTGTTGCCCTCAGGTCACGGTCAGGTCAGCGCCCCCAGGTCACGAAGTTGGTCAAAAGAGATTATGTCGCATATCATTCGATTCGGCAGGTCTTCTTGAGTCCATTGGTGGCTTTCCCGACTCGCTAGCTCAATTTGATCGGGAGTTATTGACGAAAAACTAATATGACCTTAATGACGTCATAAATGACGTCACGCAAGGTCAACATTGCAAAAGTGACGCATCTAACCTTGCAAGGAGTGCATAAAATCACGATTCTGTGTGCTGGAGATAGTTGGAGATAGTTCCCGGCGCCAGAATAGCAGTTTTTATTTTTCCCCATTGACTTATAATGGTGAGGTCACGAAAATGACCTGACCTCATGTGACCTTTAGTAAAAATATGAGCTATACAAGTTGTGAGACTCCTAATGAATACTAGATCCTGCAAGTTTCATTTCTTTGGGAAAGCTCCTCTGGCAGTGAGGGCGTTGCGAAGTTGCGACATCTGAAGACCGTGCAGAGGTTCACTATGACGTCATCGGTCATAGGTCTGACCTGACCCGAAAATGCGGTTGGTGTCAAAAGATCCGGCTTGAAATCAAAGGTCAGGTAAGCCAAGTTTCAGCTCTCTATCGCCAGCGTGTTCGGAGCTATCGCGATAAAACCCTAGGGGGGGGGGGCGGCACCCCCCCCCCTCGGCCGGCGAGGGTTAAATTCATGTTCTAGTGCTCATTTACAGCTAGCAAAAACCTCTTCAACACACAGTGGCCAATCAGTGACGAGAACACTTGTGAGCAGAATCCCTTGCAGCTGATTGGTTGTCCAGCTGTTTGTGCTCATAGCTTTAATCAATAAAACAAAGAAAACCTTCTAGTAGGACTGTGTACTTTGAAGCTAGAATTCATTTCAATTTTATTCCTCACCTTTTTTCCTATTCATAAAGCTTATTCATAAGCTTATTTGTTCGCCGGTCCCGTAGCTCAGTCTGTACTCTGTAGAGCGTTGGACTGCGCGTGGTGAGAGCACGCGTTCCCGGTTATAACAGTCCGGGTTCGAAGCGCGACGGGCGCTTGACATTTATGGGCCTCCTGGCAGGTATGGTTGCGGTTGGTGGCAGGCCGTAGCCAGGCGAAGTCAGTGAGGGGACCGGCCGTGCGCGGCTATGTGCGCACGTTAATCTTTGGACTCTAAATTCTGCCATTGAACCGGAATTGCGCGATCAGAGGGTAGAGGGCAGGGTCACCGCAACAAGCTTCGCTTAGCGGTGGTTCTGTCCTTGTGAATCATTCCTATCAAAAGGTCCGGACTAAATTTGTTTTAAAAAATCACAGAAGGTGAACTATTTCCTTTAACACTCACCTTGCTTCAATAGTGGTATGAAGTTCCTCTTGCGGCAGAGAAGGCACAGCATTTGGCTGCAACTTCAAATATTTACTTGTTGCTATCAAGTCTTCAGTTTTGAAACATAGGCGGCGGAACGGGGAGGACACCGGGGCACCGCGCCCCCTTTGATTTTGGTATTTTAACATAAGCCTTATGGGCGTCCGGCGTTGCATGGAAAGAATGGGACGGACCAAAAGTCGGCAGTGCCCCCCCCCCCTTAATTGAAGGTGTTTCGCCGCTGCTTTTTTGAAATGCATACATCTTGAGTTCTGTAAGAATGCCGATGTCCCCTCAGAAGGTCATCCAGAGCTTGCCCCTGAAAATAGGCCAGGTTTAATATAAGGGTGAATTTAAGACTTGCGAATCATTTTATCATTACACTATTATCTCATTTTTGCCTAATTAGTAAGAAATAGGTTTAGGTTAGTAGAAATAAGGTTTTGACTAGACTGCCTGGGTCACAACAGGGGATGACCCACGTGATTGATGGGACTACCACAACCATGGGGCTACCAGGCACCAGCGCTGACATAGTCTGTTCTGACCACTGCACACTGAACTGCATGTCGAAGCTCCATCAATATTTTTTTTTTCAATTTTGGTCATCTATCTCTTTGGGTCCGTCATGTCTGTCACCAAAGCCAAATTTGTAACACGATACACTACCTCCCCCGCGCCAAGCCAAATCCGCACCACGCTACATGAAATCCTGCACCACACCAGGCTAAATCCACACCGCACCAAATCCTCACCAGCCGGACAAGCTAGCACCTGCCAGATCTCATCGAAATTGTCATGCTTTGCAGACTGGCCTAACTGAACCTGACCTTACCCAACATATGAGGCTGACTGTCCTATGCACTGGGAGCTCATTGAGACCAGCCCCCACAGGCCTAAAACCTGCTCTCCATATGGCAAGGTGAAGTATTTAAGAATGGTGATCGGATATCGAATGTCAGACAAATAGAGAGCATGGGCAGTGGGCGATTCATGCAACCTATGATAATCATGTTTCCTAACCATTTATCAAAGCAAAAACAAAAATAACTACCTATTGCATTCAAATTTCACTGGAACCTCACCTGCATGGATCTTTAGGAAAGATGAAGGATGCATCCATGGGTCACTCATCTTGTTTTTTTTTTCTGCATCCAGGGCACGCAGCACTTCTGGTATTTTTGCCACAACGTACTCGACTGCTGAGCTCAAACGCAAACCGCAATCACGGTCATATAATACTGAATATTGTCCGCAATGCTTATAAATATCGCGTGTAGCGCAGGATCACAACCACATATGCCTACCTACCTTCATATTGAGATTTCCAGCGGCAATCGCAATGTATATTCGGTACCTATATTCTATCATGTATATTCATATCATCAGGTGTATAAGGTATATTCAATCGATGTAATGTCGCTGCTGCACCACTGCTGTATTGAATTCGCCCCCCTCGTTCCTTCTTCTTCTTCTTTTTGGGACCCCATCGTCACATAGGGCCCTGGGTAAACTCCCCCCCTCTGTCCGTCCCATAGGGGCCTGGGTTGACTCTCCCCTTGTTTTTTTTTTTAATGGGGATGGTTTGGCAAACAAATTATTTCCTGTCAATTAAATAAAAATATATGATTTTTAATGTACCTAAGGGATGTGAGGCATCAAAAAAAAAAAATGAAACGGGTGTCACGGAAAACGATTGTTTACAATTGAACAGCTGACGACATGCCTCCCGCGTCCCCTGGCTTGAAGCTTCGGCTCCGTGTTACATTAATATCTATGACCGTGGGCTGCGGGAGAGTTCGCCGTGCCATAACTCGGGAATGGCTGAGACGATCGAGTTCAAAGTTTGTTTGTAGTTTTGGCTGGGTGCACACAACACAACACGTATCGGGACCTTAGGACGATTTCGATTACATATGGTCTATAGTCATACCTGATCCATGTTGAGGATGGGGCACATCTCGTAGATTTCATCGGGAGTGACCATTTTCTGCGGGTTTCTCAGGTGCCCCGCTCGGCTCATTTGAAACCTGTTTGAAACAGCATAGACGTTAGTTACCTGGGGGGGGGGGGGGGGGTCATGAAGCGTGAGCCGGCCTCGACCGTTGGACCGGTTTTACTGTCGAAAAAGCGCCGCCTGCGGTAACTTTTATATATTCCCGACCGAGGCTGGGAAAACGCGTTTTATTCACCGAGGTTTTTGTGTGGAGGATCGAGTGCCGGTAGGCACGAGGTCCGTAGCAAAAATCCGAGGTGAATAAATCAGCATTTTCCTACATGCCGGGGTATGCCTTAAGCACAGCACGAGTCGGGCAGTAAAACTATGACCAAGAAACTGCCGGTGTCAAAATGCCATGTTATTTGATAGGCCGGGCAGGAAACAAAAGTTTACTGCCCGGGTTTACTGCCCAGGGCAATGACCTCTAAACTACAGTTTATCACATTAGCCCAGAGGTATAAGTGATAGGGAATGTATAATTGGCATCATTTTTGCATGATATTTGCCGCGTAAAATTAGAAAACTAACATTTTTTTGGTAAAAAAAATATCTGCTCTGCTTATCAAGGGTTTTGAAATGCTTTGTATTGGTTACAAAGCCAAATTTATGGCAAGATATGCTCCTATTAACCCGCGCCCTGGTGGGGTCTGTTTATAACGCGACCTGTAGCCTTTCTCATAAAGCTTTTGTAGAATCTTGTGGGCTTGTGGGTTTGAACACGCACTGGATAACACTGTCCTGATTTATTTTCACACTGTCTGGACACCAATAACCAGAGTAACTCAGTCCACACTTAAATAATCAAGACTATCCAAATGGTTTCAAAGAGTTTGACGCCTTACCCAGCTCAAGATTCTAATATATGCACAATTTTGCTAATTTACTCAAACTTGAACTAAACACTGGTAACTGAAAAATATAGATTCACAATTTCCAATTGTACCCTTTCTAGAAAGCAGGACAAATAAAAATGTCAAATAAAACATGATCAGAACGCAGGGGGCGCTTCGCATTTCGTGACACAACACTCCCCCCAGTGTGACGTCAGGAACACTCAGCCGTGAAGTGTGACGTCAGGAACACTCGGTCGTGGCACCAGGAACACTCAGATGTCCGAACGACCCCGCTCTAGTCATTACTCGGAGCTTCCAGCAGGCAGAGCTTGTTTACGGGGCGCCTGTAGACGCCGTTGGCGGTCTTCACGTCAGCAGAGCGAACTCTGCCGTCAGTACTTGGGTAGACCTTTACCACCCTGGCGAGGGGCCACAGTCCCCTGGGTGTATTCTCGTCTACAATTAAGACGACAGCACCCAGTTGTAAGTTATCAGTTTCACTCTGCCATTTTTGTCGGGAGAGCAGTGTTGGTAAGTATTCCTTTCGCCATCTTTTCCATACGTGGTCTGTGAGAAGTTGGGCTTGTCGCCATCGTCGTGTTCCGATGAGATCGCGCTCACTGAAGACGCCAGGGGGCAAGCCCGCACCGGTGTCGGAGGATCCCAGCAGGAAATGGTTCGGGGTCAATGCTTCAGGGTCACGCTCATCGGAACTGACATAAGTCAGCGGCCTTCCATTCAGCATATATTCCACTTCCACGAGCGTCGTGTGGAGTACGTCTTCTGCAACACATTGGCTTCCAAGCACGACCCTAAGTGCTCTTTTGACGGACGCCACCAGTCGTTCCCATACTCCCCCCATGTGGGGTGATGCTGGGGGGTTCCATTTCCACTCGATGTGCCTCTGACTCAGGTAATCCGTAATTTGACCCTCATTCCATGTCTCGATTTCGTTGCGGATTTCCTTTTCACCGCCAACGAAGTTGGTTCCCCTGTCAGAGCAAATGATTTTAGGCTTTCCTCTTCTGGCGATGAACCGGCGCAGTGCTAGCAGAAATGAATCGGTGTCTAACCCAGCAGCTAATTCCAGGTGCAGTGCGCGTGTCGCCAAGCAAGTTACGAGGAGTACAAATCGTTTCTCCGTCTTCCTGAATTTGCGCACCAGAAGGGGACCAAAGTAGTCAATCCCTACAGAACTAAACGGACAGCTCTGATCAAACCGGACGTCAGGAAGAGCGGACATCAGCGGAGCCGTAGGGCGTGACCGGCGATTTCTGCAGTAGCTGCACCCGTAGATTATCTTCTTAATTGCTCCTCTTGCTTTTGGCATCCAGAACCGCAATCTGAATTCGTTCAGGGTGTGCTGGAGGCCAGAGTGCATGAGCCGCTCATGAATATCGCGCACTATGAGTCGCGTCAGATCACTCCTTGGCGACATAATGATCGGGTGTTTGGCAGGATGTGGCACCGGGGCGCGACCGAGACGACCGCCAACCCGCAGAATACCTTGCGGGTCCACGTAAGGTGACATGTGGGTCACACCAGGAACATGGCATATCTGATCTTCGCGAATTATATGAAATTCTGCCTTCTCCATCTCGGCACTTGATAGGAAGCTGGAGTTGGGTATTTCGGTTTGTTTCTTCTTTGCTTTTAGCTTTTCCACAAACCGTATGACCCAAGCAAAAATTCTTCTGTATTTGGTGTAGGATGAAAATCGTTCCGTGTCTAGCAGTTTGCGTTGGGTATTGGTGGTGAGCACAGCGACCACCACCGGCGGTACCTTCACCTCTACGTCAGCAGGGTCAAGATCAGGAGTCACCGAAGACCGTACCGGCCACTTGTCCCTATCGACCTCCAAAAATTCTGGCCCTCTCCACCACACCTTCAGGTCTTTCAGTTTTGACAGAGATGTTCCACGGGAACCGACGTCTGCGGGATTATCCTTTCCTGAGATGTGACGCCATTCTTCTACCTTTGACGACCCATGTATCTCGGAAACTCTATTGGCAACAAACGTGTGGAAACGACGGCTTTCGTTTTGAATATAATGCAGCACTATCTTACTGTCACTCCAGAAGACAGTTTCATCAAATGTGTAGGTCATTTCTCGCTTTATCGTGTCAGCCAGTCTCACAGCCAGGACGGCGGCCTGCAATTCCAGTCTCACTATCGTGAGCTGTTTGAGGGGTGCGAGTCGAGCGCGTGACATTGCAAAGGAACTTGTCTGTTTTCCTTGCGCTGAAATGATGCGAATGTATGCGACAGCAGCAAAGCCGTTCTCACTTGCGTCGCAAAATACATGCAACTCGCTGCGATAGAGCTCGCACTCGAGTCCTTGAACTTCGCGCAAGTGCTTTGCTTGCGACAGCCAATGCTCGCATTCTTCTAATTCATCACCCGTCAACTGATCATCCCATGCATACTTCAAGGCCCAGAGCCTCTGAATCAGCAACTTGGCCTTCAACGTGAACGGTGAGACGATGCCAAGAGGATCGAAAATTGATGCGACTCCCTGCAGAAGGCCTCGCTTCGTCAGAGATGTCACACAAATTTGGGACGGGATTCCAAGAACGTCTCTTGACGGAAACCAAACGCAGCCAAGCGCCCGTTCTTGGTGCATGTCGTCCTTGTATGCCTCAGGATCTGGGTGAGCGCGCTCTACAACATCTATTTGCCTCAAAACTCCAGCGCTATTACTAACCCATTTTGTGAAACGAAATCCTCCCCGTGCCACTAGCCTGGTAACTTCCCTTTGCAATTTTACCGCTGTTTCCATGTCTGACTCGGATCTCAAAAAGTCATCCATGTAAAAGTTTTGTTTCACTGCCAGAACAGCAGCTGCTGAGAGGAGCGTTCCGTCATAATGGTCTTCTGCTGTTTTGCGCAGGACGTAACTCGCAATAGCCGGACTGCATTTCATCCCGAAAACACTCACGGTCATTTTATATACTTCAGGCTCCCTGAAAGTGTCTAAATTTCGCCAGAGAAAGCTCATTGCAGGTTGGTCATCTTCAATGATGCGAATCTGGTGAAACATTTGCTCTATGTCGGCCACCAAGGCTATCTTCTCCTGGCGAAACCTGAGTAATATCCCAGTCAGATTTTGCAAGAGATCTGGTCCCTTTAAGAGCTCGCTGTTCAATGACTTCCCATGATAAACTGCAGCTGCATCAAAGACGACTCGAATTTTCTTCTTATTCGGGTTTGTCACCGCGTGATGCGGGAGGAACCAACGTTTCCGACTGGAATTACCATTCAGCTCTTCCTTAGGTACCTTGCGGGCATGGCCCTTTTCAATGTAGCTTTGTACGGCTTCCTGATAGGCCTTTGCCTTTTCAGGATGGCGCAGTAGGTTTTTCTCGAGCGACTGTAGCCTTCGGACCGCCATGATTTTGTTTTGGGGCATAGTAACCTCTGGGTTTCGCCACAAAATACCAACTTCATACCGATCTCCACATTTCTTAGCGGTACTTTCCAACAGCGCTTGAGCTATGGTGTCCTCCCGGCTTGAATTGTCACCCCCGGAGAGCGTCCCAAATGATTCTGTCGCCCACCATTGTCGTATAATTTCTACAAGCTGTTCATCTCCGTCCGTATGCTCAATGCACATTACTTCTCTGGTCGTTTCCGGGATAAAGTCAGTAACTGAACCTGTGATTGTCCAGCCAAACGCTGTACGTATAGCAACTGGCTGACCAACATCCCCAACTCGTACTTCTTTCTGCAATACGGCTTCCAAGACGTTTGCACCGAGAAGTACTTCAATTTTTCCCTGTGTACAATCCGGGATGGGCAAATCTTGTAAATGTTTCCACCGGGACATATCTCTTGCCGAAAAAGTTGGTGTTCTAATATATACACCAGGAACGGAGAATGCTTCAGAGACCAAAATTTCTTCATCGTCCTCCCCAGTCAATGGGCGCAAACGCAGCTGAAATTTCTTCGAACGCCGAGATGGCCCGATGCCTCCAATGTGTTTCTGCAGACACGCTACCGCTCTCTGTTCTTGATTTTCTTCCTCGGTTTCGCGCGACTCGTCGTGCAGTAATTTGTGATGATTTTGATCGCAGCCATTGATTCCACATTCTTCTTTGTGCCTACAGTATCTTGCCAGATGACCTTTCTTTAGGCAGGAAAAACATCGTCGGTTTGCAAACACAAACTGAGCTCTTGCCCGAACATTCATCTGGATGAA